GTTATCTCAGATGTTGTCATTTTCATCTCTATAAGTTTGGTTTAGGTCTTTTTAGTATCTTCTGTGTCTCCTTAATTGTTTTGAACATATGGAATATAAGTATAACTCCTTTAATATCCTCTTCTGCTAATTGTAATAATGTGTCATTTTAGGATCAATTTTAATCAGTTTTTTTTCTCTCTTCCTTTGTGTGTGTGATAATCTTTGATTGGATTCCAGACATTGTGAATTTATGTTGTTGGGTGATGAAGATACTGTTTGCCTAGAAATATTCTTAAGCTTTGCTTGCTTTGGGATGCAGTTTAATAAGTTACAAGCAGTTTGAGCTTTCTGAAATTGCATTTAAGATATTTCAGTCAGGATAAAGAGCAGTGTTTACTCCTGGGCTAAATATTCATCACTGTTAAGGTAAGAGCCTTTAGAGTATTGTGCCCAATGCCTTTTGAATTATAAGGCTTTTTGCTTTGGCTGGTGGGAATAAGCACTGTTTCTGTTCCTGTGTGACAAACAAGTATTGTTTCTCCTAATCCTTTTGGGTGTTCTGCCTCATCCTAGGGTATTTTCCTCATGCATTTGCATTGCATATCTGTACTGTGCTGAATATGAGGAGGGCTCCTATGCAGATCTCCACAGTTGTCTCTTTTAGGCAGATCTTTCTTCTCTCTCGGGTACTCTGTCCTGTTAACTCTAGCTACCGTTTTCTCTCCAGACTTCTAAGCTGTTTCTCCTTAAGTCAGAACATCTGGCAGCCTCAGCCTCAGTTCCCCTTCATGTACTGTAGCCTGGAAATTCTCAAGGCACTTAGCTGTGGTAATCAGAGAGCTGACCTCATTTGTTTACCATGTCTCAGGGATCATTGTCCTTTGTTGGCTCTGTCCTGTGTCCTGAATATGATTATCATATGCTTTGTGTAGTTTCTTTTTTAATTGTTTTATGCTGCCAGGTAAATCCATCTTGAACAGAAATTTGCATTAATTTTTCAACATAACATTTCTCTTCATTTGACAGATTATTTTGTTAACTGTTTATTGTCATATTCTTCTTCCCCTAGAATGTAACCTCTTTAAAGGCATCGTTTTGTCTGTTTTTATTGTGTTGAGTCTCTGTCACCTAGTAGAGCACAGTAGGTAATCAATAAATATTGGTGAATAAAGTATAAACAACGGAGTAAACAAGGCCATTACTTTCTAGATTTGAACAGAGTAAATAGGCCATTACTTTCTAAATTTGAATGATCACAAAAATAGAGATAAGAGGAAACCCCTAAAATGTATTGTGAAGAAACAATGTTAAGATTTTGAACTGATTATCGATACATAGAATGAAGGAAATAAATTTAAAGATGATTGGTATTGCTCAGGTTTCTACCTTAGGAACTCTTCTCATTCAATATACTCTTCCTAGGCATTCTCATTTATTCACAAGGTCACAGTTCACCATGGTGTTGACTCCCAAATCTCTATTTATAGTCTGAATCTCTTTTCTGGAAATTAATGCCTACTCGACAGCTCTGCTTAGATGTATTATAGGTATTAATTCAGCAGAAACAAAATAAATCTATGATTTTTTTTCTACCAAAACTTACTTTTCTGTGTTCTTTATCAAAGAAAGGGGTACTATCACCAAGCTAGAGTGCCAGGTGCCCTATTTGATACGTAAGTGTCCCTCCTTTTCCTCCCTTGCCTAATAAATGACAAATGTTACTGATCTTCCTTTTTGAAAAGCTTTTGAATCCATCTGTTTCTCTCTAACCTACTCCCTTATCTTGATTTAGACCATGTTCATCTCCCGCCTTCATCGCAGCAGGATCTTCCATACTGTCTTGTTACTTTCCTGTTAAAAGTTTTTACACTGTAGTCTGAGGAACTTTGTAATTTTTTTTAAAATTGAAGAAGCAAAGAGAGAGAAGGTGAGGCATAGAGTGTTCGAGTGATTTACTCAAGATGACAGAACTGAGGAGTGGTGAAGCTGCATGACTGCTGCTGAGTGCTGAAAGCCCATACTTTGTTCACTGTACCACACTGCCACCTGTACTGTTAATGAGTACTTGAGTAGCTCACAGAGCATTTTCATGTTTTTCTTCTTGAATAACTTTTTAAAATAGAGATTATAATTACCCTTGTCAGATGATAAAATTGGAACTCAAGGGAGGTTAAGCGACTTGCCCAAGGATAAGAAGCTGTTAAGTGGTGACTTTAGCATTAGAAATTGGTTTCTGGCTCCAAAAGCCATAGTTTTAATCCTTAATGCCACCTTGGAATTTGTTAATGGTTGCAAATACACAGTCTACCTTTTTAGGCTTGATTATGATTTTGTTTGGTCCTAGCATTGTGATCAAGTATAGGTCAAGTTACTTATACTCAGTGCCTCCATTTCTTCACCTATAAAATGGAGATAATATTTACTATATAGATTATAGATGGGCACAAAGCACTTAAGACAATATGTGACACATACTAAGGTGGCATTATTGGGATATATTAAGAGTTAACTACTGTAATTATTAGCTAGATGTATTTTTCCACTACTTCAAGCTCTGTCTTACAAAATAATTACTAGCTTCTACTCCTCATTATTGCATATTCTTTCTTCCCACTTCTCTAAGCATTCTATATTTTATCCTCCATGCTTTGTTTCAGCTATTTGTTCTATTTGAATTGCTCCCTTTTCTTTTTTCTGCTCTTCAGATCTTACTATTTTCTCAAGGCTCCCACATTCTTGGGAATATTTTTCTAATTAATTTAGGCTGTGTTAACCTTTACTTTTCTGAACTCTCTTAAGTTCTCTAAGACTTAGAGAACTTATCATCTATTTTGTAATTATACTTAATTCTGGAGTCTTCTCTGTTTTCCGTATTTGTGATGATGATGAGTATTTGTTTCATAAGTGTTCACAGTTGCTGGGATATAATTTATTTGATATATGTTATTGACCTGGCCTCTGTCCTCAAGAAGTTCATAATATAGTAGATAAATTATAGCTTATAAACTATGGCATGGTGGTTCTTAACCTGTCTTCTGCTTTCATATCGTTTATATTTGCAACTCACTTTTGTCATTAGCATCTCATTTCACACATTCACTAAAGGAGCATTTCCCTCCAGCATTCAGAGTAACTGATTTATAATTCTAAAAAGTTCTTTCTCATGCCCTCTCTTATTTAAGCATCATAACAAACAAATGAGTTGTAGGAATTGATGTAGCCATTAAACATAAGGGAAATTGCAATCCAGAGATGTATATGTTACTCTCCCACTGATGAGTGAAGAAACTGAGTCTCACAGAGCTTTCTTTAGACTCAAATAGGAAGTTAGCAATAGAGTTGGGACTTACACTCAGATTTAGTATTTAGACAATCTAACAATGATATAATCTCCAGTATGCTGAGCAATAACATTTCTTGTTTTAAACTTTTTAGTATAGAAATTTTTAAACACATACAGAAAAGAGAGTAGTATAGTGAACCCCTGTGTACCCACAACTTCATCAGTTTACCAACATTTTGCTGCTGCTGTTTGATCTACTTCTCTACACTATTTTTTTTTTTAGAGTATTTTAGAGCAAATCTTAGAAGTGATGTCATTTTACCCATAAATCCTTCAAGATGATCATTGGCTGTAAATTTAGCTGACTATAACTATGTAAAACACATTGGTGTAAAATCCTTAATCTTTTTTTTTTTTTTTTTTTTAAACGGAGTCACTCTGTTGCTCAAGCTGGAGTTCAGTACAACCTCTGCCTCCTGGGTTCATGCAATTCTCTTGCCTCAGCTTCCCAAGTAGCTGGGATTACAGACGTGTGTCACCATGCCAAGCCAATTTTTATGTTTTTAGTAGAGATGGAGTTTCACCATATTGGTCAGGCTGGTCTCGAATTCCTGACGTCAATCAGTCCAACTGTGTTGGCCTCCCAAAGTGCTGGGATTACAGGCATGAGCCACTGCGCCTGGCCCGTAAAATCCCTAATTATGTTTAATTCATTATTCTATCATATGTATGGTGACATTCAACACATTGTCATGTGTACTTACTTCTTTGGAAATGTGGATTTTTAGGGTACCGTTTCTTATGGTAGAGAAGTATTTCAAGTCTAGAATGTTTTTGAGTTACATTATTGTGACTTGGAGAGGGAGTTGTTTAGCCAAAGGAAAGAGTTAACTAATTATATGCTTCCAGTGAGCATGTAATTATGCTCTAAAACAGAAGAAAGGTAGAAAAAAAGAAGGACATACTATGTCTTCTTTTCCCCAAAAGCTAACCTGAACAGATATATACTGGACATTGCTTAAAGAATTGTGCTGCTTCATCATGTCCTTTTTATCTCTATTCCCTTTCTGTCCCATCCTGTCAGCCTGAGAGTTTTCAAATCTACCTTACGAAAAAACAAAACAGACAACATACACAAAACAAAGTTCCTGGATTTTATGTCCCTGTGGACTAAATACCTCTGCTGATACTTTGTTGACCTCACGGAAAGACTCAAATATTTTGGAATGGATAGAAGGTTCTTTACCTTTTATCTCCCGGATACCTTTCTATTATCACTTGCCGCTTATTTCAAATACCCTTGATGTTAATTTGTAATAATTATAACAAGCCAAAGTTGTCACACTAGCATATGATTTTTATGTGTGCGCGTGCTCGCTCGTGTGCTCTCTCTCTCTCCCCCCATCAGAGTTTAGAACCAGAACTTCTCAATGCCTGCTCAAGTCATTCAACAGAATTCACCCAACATTTAAGTTCCTATTCCGAGAAGTATTACTCTAGGCTCATTTGCTAATCCCTGGCATATTTTGGATTATGAAATTCATTTGCAATTGAATATAATATCAGAAAAAATTACAGGGTGATACTGTGTACCTAAAGATATAAAAAAATTTTATTTGTTGTAGGTGCAGCCACTTTTTAATGATATGACAGTGTAAAAATCATTTGTTTGTAATTTTCTGTGCCTGTTATGGTCAAACTACTATCTAATTATATTTTTAAATTTATCTTTTAGGGACAGTATGGAAATTACCAGCAGTGAAAAAGTACTTACATTCCAATAGCCAGTATCTATTAGCAGCCATATTGTCACCTCAGCACTGTGGAAACCTCCCTGTGAAGAGATCCTTCCATTCCATCTAGTTTTTGGAAAAACCTTGTGGATAAGTGGCTGTTTCATCAGTAAGCAGCCTTTGTGGTTTAGTTATAAAAGGCTTTAGTAGCTCAGAAATACTCTTGATTTCACATTTCTACTCTAGATGGCAACATTGGACAGAAAATGCAATGACATAACCAATTTGTAATGATTTTGGAACTGTGTTTCAAATGGACTGTTACAGACTGAAAGGTGTGAACAGCTTTGTATGTTTATGAAGGGTAAGGGAATTTAATACTTTTCCACAGATTTTTTTGTAAGGGGAAGAGGGAAATGTACACTTTTTACAGTAGCAATATTTTGTATATTATGTTTATTTCATGTGGTGAATATGCAAGGCGGCACACTACGCACTGGACAGAATCAGAAATCCTCGGTTAATGTGGACTGGAGCATGGTAGATGCTTGATTGTTTTGGTCTCAAAATGGTGTGCTATGAAGATAAAGGTGAGGGGAAGACAAAGCACACCATATGTCCACTGTTCTGTTCTCATAGAGGAAATTCAAATCCCTTTTATCTATTAGATAATCAAGGGCACTGTGATACAGTTTTGAGTATAAAGACATTTTTTAAAAGCCTTCCAGTTTTGTGGATTAAACCTTTTTGTAAAGATCATTTATAATACTGTTTTAAAATGTGAGGCAATAAGAATTACTTTATGTCAGATCTGAGGAGCCTTTGGTAAAACAGTTTAATAGAAATGAAAGTGGTAATCCTCTTCTAAAATAGCAATAACTGAAAAGGAAAGTATTAATTTTACCTTGTTTGAGTTATCAGGGAACTTAGTAATTTTACTATCAAAGCATTTTATAAATGATATCAAAGAAGAGTCAACGTTGATCCAGTAATTTTATTTTGTAACATTGAGGGATAATTGGTTATTAAACAGAATAGCTGAGGAGACTTTACAAACCTTTGTTTCAACTTTCTTATCTGGAAATAATGTCATTTATAAAGGAACACTTTTATGTTTTTCCCTTTTTTATGTTGGTTAATATACCACAAAGAGATATTTAGGAAAATGCTTATTAATGAGGTTTGTTCTATCTGTTTTAAAAGCACAGAAGTTGCATTCTAGATAACCTTGTTTATTAGCAGGGCATATTTTAATCATTATTTGAGACTGTCCTGTGCCTGATTATTTTAGCTAAATTCAGGGAGATTGCGTGGGGCAGGAAAGCATACATTGAAAAATTTCTAACCATGGTTATTTAAACATAATCTGAAAACATCTAGCCCAAAGGTAAGTTGCTATTTTCATCACAGTTGCCTATGCCCAGGGAATAAGATGTATTATTTATAATTGGATTGGTTTTTCCCGCTTTTAACTGGAAATAAAACAGAAGGGGTACCATTAATTTGAATAAGCAGAACATACTGTTCTCAACATACTGTAATCAAAAGGAAGAATTTGAGTGGGTCTGTGTGTGTGTAAGAGAGTGTGTGTTTCAAGGTCAGAATAGGTTTGTTTTTTTGTTTGTTTGTTTGTTTGTTTGAGATGGAGTCTCGCTCTTGTCACCCAGGCTGGAGTGCAGTGGTGAGATCTCGGCTCACTGCAACCTCTGCCTCCCAGGTTCAAGCGATTCTTCTGCCTCAGCCTCCTGAGTAGCTGGGATTAGAGGCGCCTACCACCATGCCCGGCTAATTTTTGTACTTTTAGTAGAGACGGGGTTTTGCCATGTTGGCGAAGCTGGTCTCAAACTCCTGACCTGAAGTGATCCACCCACCTCGGCTTCCCAAAGTGCTGGGATTCCAGGTGTGAGCCACCATGCTTGGCCAGAACAGATTTTTTTTTTTAAAAACTTGGTCAGTAGAAAATGAGAATCAAGTTTGAACAGATAAAGCATGGACAGCCTTATTGTGATTGAAATGCTTGTAGGTTCTGTGCCAATTTTCCACCACTGTGTACTTTGTTGCTATTTAAAACTGTATCAACTCTAATGGAAGAATAAATTATTTGTGATTTTAATTTTCTCATTTGTTTCTTTAAATTAGATCTCTTTGACTCTCTTGTTTTGTCTGGAGACTATGCTGTGGGTTTTTATATAAGTTAGTCCAGTATAAGCAGACTATATTTGTATTCTAGGACTTTATCAAAATTCTCTTGCCATGCCCAAGTTAATTAGAATTAACTGTTCAGTAATCAGCATGTTGCGTAGGCTGTTTGTTACAGAATTCTTTCTCTGAAAATGAAGTCCATGAGGCTATAATCAAGATGACTGAATTAGATAAATGAGTTGAGGAGACAAAATTGTACTGAACCCAACCTGGTGTAGATACGTTATCTCATTCTAAATAAGCTCAACTGACATTAAGAAATAATTTGTCTTGCCAACCCATCTTCTGTTGTCTTATTCTCCTTTTAATGGAAACGAAAATTGCAATTTTAATAAGCAGAATTTCCTCCAGGACTTTCTTTCTGGAGACTAGTACATTTGCAAGGTTTAATTGTTTTATAACAGTCCTATTTCGTAAAAGTTTTTAATTGGTGGTGACAAAAATTACCTTACTCCTTTGATACCTAGTAAGAGGAATAACTTTACCAGTACCTGTCTATTAGATGTGACATTTCTGTAGAGACTATATATTGGTGCACCTAAAATTTGCATTTCATCAAAATAATAATGAATAAATATGCTATTCGTTAAAATTCCAGAAGCAAAGTATTACTAAGAAAAGAGTGGGGTGACTATTAATAAACATTTCAAAATGTGTTAAAAGTGCTAATTCTGTTATTTGGGAATATGTTGTTATTCTGTAGCATTATTGAGGTAGAACATTGTTTTTGGTTTTAAAATTTTTTTAATGAAATTATTAACATACACCAAGCTATAGAGCAGAGCATGGTGCAATGGGCTCCCATGTTACAGTAACCCAGTTTATATAGCAACTCATGGCCAAACTTCTGATTGTCCATATACCAACCACCAAATAGAAGCAAACACTATGTTATTTAATGTCTTAACTATTCCAATAAAGACATCTAAAAGATAAGTACTTGAAGATTCTTCTTGCTCCTAAATTCTGTATTTTCAGTGTTAACATTAGAAACCATCTCAGAATTTGTACGTAAAAGTCATTGCCTTTTCATTCATTTTAAAAAGTCATTCATGTCAAATAAAAGATTGACATACATTATACAAAGAGTGAACATTTTTCATAATGTCATCCATTAAAAGTCACAATCATTAAAAATTTGGTACTTCTAATTTAATTTTACACAATAAGCCAACATATATATTTTTAAAACAAAAACAGAATTTTACTACATACTATTGTCCAACTTCCTTTTATTTTTTACCTTAGAAATATCTTGAATGCTCCCTGTTCCCTTGTTGCCTCTTAATTTTTTACTGTTGCAGAAACAAAGCTTTTATAAACTATCTTGCAGAGTTGGTTTTTCGTTTTTGTTTTTTTTTTTTTTTTTTTTGGTAGGGCGTTGGGGGTATTTTTATACAGTAAATTTTTAATATTTTAGGTGTAAGGCTATGGATGTTGAAAAAAGTATCACATAAAAGGTATATCACTGGCAACACCAGTTCATTAGTCTTACTAATTTTTGCAATTCTCATTGTTTTTTTAAAAATGTTATCTCTGAATTTTTAAAAAATATTTATTTATTTTACTTTAGGTGCATTCTATACCTGGCATTTCTCCCCATGTTATCCCTCCCCACCCCCCTTTCCTAACCCCCGTTGTCTCTCCCCTATCTCCCCCCTCAACGGTCCCCTGTGTGTGATGCTCCTCTCCCTAAGTCCACGTGTTCTCATTGTTCCAACACCCATCTATGAGTGAGAACATGCGGTGCTTGGCTTTCTGTTCTTGGGTCAGTTTGCTGAGAATGATGGTTTCCAGATTCATTGAAGTCCCTACGAAGGACACGAACTCATCATTTTTTATGGCTGCGTAGTATACCACATTTTCCCTGTCCAGTCTATCATTGATGGGCATTTGGGTTAGTTCCAGGTGTTTGCCATTGTACACAGAGCTGCAATGAACATGCGTGTGCATGTGTCTTTATAGTAGAACAATTTATAGTTCTTTGGGTATATAGCCAATAGTGGGATTGCTGGGTTAAATGGAATTTCTATTTCTAGATCCTTGAGAAATCGCCACACTGTCTTCCACAATGGTTGAACTAATTTACACTCCCACCAACTGTGTAAGAGTGTTCCTATTTCTCCACATCCTCTCCAGCATCTGCTGTCTCCAGATTTTTAAATGATCGCCATTCTAACTGGTGTAAGATTATATCTCAGTGTGGTTTTGATTTGCATTTCTCTAATGACCAGTGATGATGAGCATTTTTTCATATGTTTGTTGGCCACATATATATCCTCTTTTGAAAAGTGTCTGTTTATATCCTTCACCCACTTTTGAATGGGGTTGTTTGTTTTTTCTTGTATATCTGTTTTAGCTCTTTGTAGATTCTGGATATTAGTCCTTTGTCAGATGGGTAGATTGCAAAAATTTTTTCCATTCTGTTGGTTGCCGATTCACACTAATGATGGTTACTTTTGCTGTACAGAAGCTCTGGAGTTTAATTAGATCCCATTTGTCTATCTTGGCTTTTATTGCCATTGCTTTTAGTGTTTTAGTCATGAAGTCCTTGCCTATGTATATGTCCTGGATGGTTTTGCCTAAGTTTTCTTCTAGTGTTTTTATGGTGTTAGGTTTTATGTTTAAAACTGTGATCCATCTGGAGTTACTTTTAGTGTAAGGTGGCAGGTAGGGGTCCAGTTTCTGCTTTCTGCACATTGCTAGCCAGTTTTCCCAGCACCATTTATTAAACATGGAGTCCTTTCCCCATTGCTTGTTTTTGTCAGGTTTGTCAAAGATCAGATGGTTGTAGATGTGTGGTGTTTCTTCTGGGGTCTCTGTTCTGTTCCATTGGTCTGTGTCTCTGTTTTGGTACCAGTACAATGCTGTTTTGATTACTGTAGCCTTGTAGTATAGTTTGAAGTCTGGCAGTATGATGCCTCCGGCTTTGTTCTTTTTGCTTAGGGCTCTCTTGTGATTCCATATGAAGTTTAAAGTGGTTTTTTCTCCCAATTCTGTGAAGAAGGCCATTGGTAGCTTGAGGGGGATATCATTGAATCTATAGATTACTTTGGGCGGTATGGCCATTTTCACAATATTGATTCTTGCTAACCATGATCATGGAATGTTTCTCTGCCTGTTTGTGTCCTCTCTTATTTTGTTGAGCAGTGGTTTGTAGTTCTCCTTGAAGAGGTCCTTTACATCCTTTATTAGTTGTATTCCTAGGTATTTTATTCTCTTTGTAGCAATTATGAATGGGTGTTCGCACTTGATTTGGCTTTCTGTTTGTCTGTTTTTGGTATATAGGAATGCTTGTGATTTTTGCACATTGATTTTGTATCCTGAGACTTTGCTGAAGTTGCTTATCAGTTTGAGAAAATTTTGGGCTGAGACAATGGGGTCTTCTAAATATACAATCATGTCATCTGCAAATACAGTTTGACTTCCTCCTTTCCTAATTGAATGCCCTTTATTTCATTTTCTTGCCTGATGGCTCTGGCTAGAACTTCCAATACTATGTTGAATAGGAGTAGTGAGAGAGGGAATCCTTGTCTAATGCCTGATTTCAAAGGGAATGCTTCCAGCTTTTGCCCGTTCAGTATGATATTGGCTGTAGGTTTGTCATATATAGCTTTTACCATTTTATGATACATTCCATCAATACCTAGTTTATTGAGAGTTTTTAGCATGAAGGGCTGTTGAATTTTTTCGAAGGCCTTCTCTGTATCTATTGAGATAATCATGTCGTTTTTGTCTTTGTTTCTGTTTATGTGATGGATTACATTTATGGATTTGCATATGTTGAACCAGCCTTGCATCCCCGGGATGAAGTCTACTTGGTCATGATGAATAAGCTTCTTGATGTGCTGTTGCAACCTGTTTGCCAGTATTTTATTGAAGATTTTTGCGTCAATGTTCATCATGGATATTGGCCTGAAGTTTTCTTTTTTAGATGGGTCTCTGCCTGGCTTTGGTATCAGGATGATGTTGGTCTCATAAAGTGAGTTCAGGAGGATTCCCTCCTTTTGTATTGTTTGATACAGTTTCAGAAGGAATGGAACCAGCTCCTCTTTGTACCTCTGGTAGAATTCGGCTGTGAACCCATCTGGACCTGGACTTTTTTTGGTTAGTAGGCTATTGATTGCTGCCTCTACTTCAGCCCTTGTTATTGGTCTATTCAGGGTTTCAGCTTCCTCCTGGTTTAGTTTTGGTAGAGTACAAGTGTCTAGGAATTTATCCATTTCTTCCTGGTTTACTGGTTTATGTGAGTAGAGCTGTTTGTAGTAATCTCTGATTGTAGTTTGTATTTCTGTGGGATCAGTGGTTATATCCCCTTTATCGTTTTTTATTGCCTCTATTTGATTCTTCTCCCTTTTTTATTAATCTGGTCCACAGTCTGTCAATTTTGTTGATTTTTTCAAAAAACCGGCTCCTGGATTTATTGATTTTTTGAAGGTTTTTTGTGTCTCTATCTCCTTCAGTTCTGCTCTGATCTTAAGTTATCTCTTGTCTTCTGCTAGCTTTTGAGTTTTTTTGATTATGCTCCTCTAGTTCTTTCAATTTTGATGATAGGGTGATGATTTTAGATCTTTCCTCTCTTCTCTGGTGGGCATTTATTGCTATAAATTTCCCTCTCGATACTGCTTTAAAGGTGTCCCAGAGATTCCGGTAAGTTGTGTCTTCATTCTGGTTGGTTTCAAAGAACATCTTTATTTCTGCCTTCATTTCATCGTTTATCCAGTCAAAATTTAGAAGCAAGTTCAGTTTCTAAGTGGTTGTGCGGGTTTGAGTGTGTTTCTTGCTCCTGAGTTCTAGTCTGTGCTGTGGTCTGATAGACTGTTATGATTTCTGTTCTTTTTCATTTGCTGAGGAGTAATTTGCTTCCAATGATGTGGTCAATTTTAGAGTAAGTGCAGTGTGGTGCTGAGA